TCTGCCTATACCTGTGTACTCTCATGTTCCGATTAACCCAGCTTCCCCAAATTTCTTTCTTTTTGGTGTCTATATACGCCGGGATCCGGAGTCATGGATGATCCTGCGGTCCTGTGTCATGGATCGCGAGTCCTGGATCTTGAGTCGTGGCTGTGGTCCTGGATCATAAGCCCTCGATGGATATCCTCGTGGATTCATCTTCCTATTATACACACATGTATTTCCAAACATTTGGACTACCTATGTTGCAAATGTATTATCTTTTCAATTTACACACGGCATCTATTGCACGTCTGTCCGTCCTGGGAGAGGGATCCCTCCTCTGTTGCTCTCCCTGAGGTTTCTCCCATGTTCCCCTTTAAACTGTGGGCTTTTCTCTGGAAGTGTTTCCTTGTACGATGTGAGGGTCTAAGGACAGAGGGTCTAAGGACAGAGGGTCTAAGGACAGAGGGTCTAAGGACAGAGGGTCTAAGGACAGAGGGTGTCGTATTGTCATACTGATATTCTGTACAAACTGTGAAGTCCATTGAGACAAATGTAACATTTGTGATATTGGGCTATATAAATAAACATTGATTGATTGATTGAACATACACATTAATGCAGCAGCAATATTAATAGAGAAACATCAGACTTAATAGTAAAACACTGCAAGGGAACATGTTTATTGCACCAGGACTTTTACTGCGACAACATTGACTTGCCTGTGAATAAAAAATAAACCATAGTGTTGGTGATCTACAGTGTTTTCATTCTTCTTTGAACACCAACAAGACCGCTAACACCCTATTTCAACAATCACACTGCGTGTCATTGACATAATTAATAGATAGTTTAGCTTCTCACCATCATTTGCTGTGGCCAACTGATGTTAACGATCGTAACTGAAAGGCTGCCTGCCAAACGTAAACATTCAGCCACGTGACATTCAGCCAAACTCTCGCGAGAGTTTTACACTAGACGGATCCTTTTACACTAGACGGATCCTTTCTAGCCATAACCCTGCCACAGCTGTAAGAGAGACTCATGACGTCACTTCCTGTCAAGGCCTCGCCCACTCCCCAAATAGTTTGATGTTTAAATTAGTTTTCTTGATAAATAAATGATTACCTGGAAGTGGAATATCCCGGCGTACTGCGAGCTGAAGCTCTGTCCGGGAGGTACCACTCTGTCCAAAATCTGGGGGTCCAGAGTCAGAGAGGCCAAGGCCGCCAGCAGCCAGCAGTCACCTGACAGACACAGTGCAGGGCACACAGCTCTATCAGAGAGTGAGTGTGTGTGTGTGTGTGTGTGTGTCTGAGTGTGAGTGTGTGTGTGTGTGTGTGTGTTTGTGTGTGTGAGTGTGTTTGTGTGTGCGTGTGTGGCGGTGTGTGTGTGTGTGTGTGTGTGTGTGTTTGTGTGAATGTGTTTTCTCACCCAGCGCTCCCTGACAGATGTCCGTTCTTTTCGCTCCATCAACGATAAATTGAGGATGTGAACTCAGCTCCTGATTGGACGAGAGAGCAGGTGATTAAAGATGATGAGGATAATGATCACCTTCATCTTTAACAAGGTGACAATATTTTATATAACGATGAAACTGTGCAGTTTATCTGCGGTGCGTTCACAGGCGTCTCGTTAATGATTCACAGACTGAGTCACAGTTTGTATTTCATTAGCAGGAGCTGCTGTAATCTTATCTTTAATATCAAACAATGCGTCCCTGCCCTACAGCTGCAGGTGGATGGATACGCTGTTTATCAAATAAGTAGATCCTACTCTTACTGAAAAAGAACTCCCAACACATGGATCAAACTGGCCGTTTATGAGTTAAAGTTATCTGTGATGTTACAGAACGAGAGTAAGCAGTTTCCTGAGGGTCCAACACCGAAATCTACTGAGCAGAATCCGTCCAGGAAAAAACACACACATGTATTTTATAAAATAAACGTCAGTTTCTTTGAATAAATACTAATCTAACTCGGGACCGCAGACCATCTCAGTAGAGACCCCTTTAGCAGACCGCCTCAGTAGAGACCCCTTTAGCAGACCACCTCAGTAGAGACCCCTTTAGCAGACCACCTCAGTAGAGACCCCTTTAGCAGACCGCTTCAGTAGAGACCCCTTAAGCAGAGCGCCTCACACCCCCTCAGCTCACCGTAGGTCTCTTCCACTCGATGCCTCTGGTTTTGGAGGAGTACCGACCCAGAGTGTTGAACCCCAGAGACTCGCAGTCTGCAGGGAAGACCGGGTCACAGAACAGCTCTCCACTATTCAGACTCTCAGCCCGCAGCTGCTGGAAGTCCTGTTGCTGGAACCGGACCGCCTTCAGACTGCCCTCCTCCTCCTCCCGGGTCTGCAACCGGGCCAGATCTGCTGCTGTGCTCGCCATCTGGGAGGGACCAGTACAACCCAGGTCTACAGAGAGTCTAGAGTCTACAGAGAGTCTATAGAGAGTCTATCGAGAGTCTACAGAGAGTCTATAGAGAGTCGACAGAGAGTCTACAGAGAGTCTACAGAGACTCAATAGAGAGTCTATAGAGAGTCTACAGAGAGTCTATAGAGAGTCTACAGAGAGTCTATAGAGAGTCTACAGAGAGTCTACATAGAGTCTAGAGTCTACAGAGTGTCTACAGAGAGTCTCCAGAGAGTCTCCAGAGAGTCTGCAGAGAGTCTAGAGCAGGGGTTTTCAAAGTGTGGGTAGGTGAGCCTCCCCTCAGAGAACATAAGAACAGCCGCGCCCCCCCTCCCAATTATTATTGCTGTTATTATTATTATTATTATTATTATTATTATTGTTGTTGTTGCTATAATGCAGGGGTATTCAATTGCATTTCAAAGAGGTCCAGTAAGAGAAAATGTAATTAAATGCTCTGTTTTCGCTGTCTACCTTCCGCCATTTGAAATTACTCCGACT